CTGCGTCTACACTCATTTCTCCATTGTATCTAAAAGGGCAGCTGTGGTTGTCACAAAGGCCGGCCTTCACACATGTCTGCCTTCGTTTAGCTCAATTACTTGGTAGATTGGTGGGACTAGTAGCTTACACAATAAAAATAAGGTCCTTTGTTGAGGAAGTGACAAGGGCACAGCAATTCTGCCAAGATCAGCAAGTATTTTTATTTACTTGCTAAAAACGTTCTCAGCTTGAAAAGTAAAACCTAATGCTCCCACCCCACCAAAGGACCGGTAAGCTGCAATATATTACAGATTCTGGTTTTAGATATGATTTAACATTAAAGCGGTACTTGACCCACAAATGTAATGGTCACCCAAAGACATGCTTTCAAGCCCTCAAATAGTTCCGCTTTAAGACGTCAAACTTTGTGACATAGTTCTGACAGAGGCTGGAGGTAAGTTTTGGGTCTTTATCTTAATGTATGCGAGATGAACCCCTGACAAGCTAGGTGAACAGCAGCAAAATACTGTGGTAGGCCGTTAAGTGCATTCAGCGGCAGTCTGGATCCAGCAATGTGCCTTAAAGGAGAAGTACTGGGAGAGTAAAATTTGTACATCCTAAAACTTAGAGCCGACGTGTGACACTGCAGGTGTCACACGCCTGCTCTATAGATCAAGAGCGGAGTGATCACGAACCGCTGATAGCTCGCCTCACGGTCTTCTACCTGCAGAGAGAGCTCAATGGAGGGCTAGACAGGGGAGGGTGTGGGGACAGCTGACTCCGACTCTAGAGAGGCAGAGCCAGCTGTCAATCAGGCAACACTACAATATTGTTGGGATCCTCTCCAGCTGCAGCGTGGCTTTGCTCTGTCAGCCCACTATATGCTGAGCTTGAGTCACAATATACTCCTGTTAATATACTCCTGTGACCCAAAAAAGGACTAAAGCCAAAAAAAGTTTTGCTTTAGTTCTCCTGTAACGCCCAATAATGCCTTGAGTTAATGCATGTGCATCAACACAATGCATAGTGTTTATAGTCCCTTACCATTTTTGAAGCTCTATTGGATGCTAGGGGTTAGGAGAGGTCCTCAATTAAACCAAAAGATATGTCCTGGAATTTTAGGGATTTACAGTCCAGATGGGTTTACTCTCATGCCCCTGGCCCATTGCACTATGACAGGAGAAGCTTGTGCCTGATGACTTGCAGAACATTTATACGCAGCTATTATACATTTCTGGGGTATTGGATCATCCAATTATCGACATTTATAAGTTCTCCCGGGACATGTGACACCATCATTATGATGGGACAGCATTCACAACATGAATGAAATGATGCAGGTAACTCTTGTTTAATTATTTACTGTACTTAGCTCTACAGAAGGAGCCTTTTAGCAATAACACTAAGGATTTCAAACGCTCTTAGCAATCGCTAATGTTCTCTCTCGGTGGTGTGACCACATTTTATAGCTATTTCGCAATGCTGAAGCCAGAAGGAAAAGCAGTAAAGAAAAAAAAAATCATCTCTCATGAAACACTTGAATAATAATTTAATGGTTGATTGCTTTTTCTTTCCCACTTAAAGTGGCCCTGTTGTGGAATTGGACTCCTTCCTTGAAAGTGATAAAAACTGAGAGTACTGAAAAATATCGACCAGTCCTGCAGCAACTATTCCTTTGGGATCCTACCAAATCACACGACAGAACACTTAGAGGGTTATTCACTAAGCTGACGAAGGCAGCCGAATGAATAACCGAGGCGAAGTGAACACTGTTCGGCAATGCACTTTGGTTCTGTACAGTCGATTTCAGCCGTACATCGGCTGCCTTCAGTCACCCGAACATCTGGATCGGCTGAGCTGAAGCTCTGGCAGTTCACTAGCTGCCGTTCGCCCCTATTCTCATAGGGCCAGAACAGCAGTGAGTGAATAGCGAATGCTGCTGAGCGGCATTCTGCTCGCTACCTCCGAGGTAGCGAGCAGAATAAAAAAATAATAAAACGAAAAGAGAAGTTAAAAACAATTTTAAGAAAAAGAAAAAAAAACAACCCAGCGTGGGGTCCCCTTTCTAAACCATACCAGACCCTTTAGGTCTGGTAGGAAAGTTAGAAGGGACCCCTATTTAAAAAGAAACAGCGTGGGGCTCCCCGGCAAAAGTCATAGCAGGCCCTTTAGGTCTGGTAGGAATATTAAGGAGGAACCCCACCCCCAAAAACGGGTGAACAAAAAAAAAGTGGGGTCCCCTAAAATTCCTAACCAGACCCTTGATCCGAGCACAGGCCTGGCAGGGCAGGAAAGGGGGAGATGAGCGAACCGCCCGCCATACCAGGGCAAATGCCAGCTCCGCAGACAGTTCTCCCCGCTTCGGCTGTCACTTTGGCTTACCTGAGCTGGAGCATATGCGTTCGGCTCGGCAGCTGTACGGGCTATTGTGAATAGCCGTACAGCAGCCCTTCAGGTCGACTGAACCAAAGGGCTCCGGCGGCCGACGTGAGCCAAAGGATCGCTACGGCTACGGCTGGATCCTTCAGCTCTTTAGTGAATAACCCTCTTAGAAATTTAGCCACATGCTGCATAAAATAATAGGCTTGAGGCATCCTCCCATCTGTAGAGCATTGGAAACGGATAGCATGAGATCCGGGTCATCAACTGACAAGAAACCAAGATCTCATGCTATCCGCATCAGTTTGCAATTGTTGTCCAGTTTAAATCTGAATATACTGAAAGCACAAAAGCCCTGATGAAGGGGGAGTTCTGACCCCCTGAAAGGTGTTGCGTTTGTTTACATGTTGTGAAAAATAAAACTGGACTGATTCTAGCTTTGTGGCTTTCATCCTTCTAATACTCCAGGGACCCTTTGGGATACCCCAGGGAGCTGCCATTCAAATTAACTTCTGAATTCTGTCTACTCTGGAATCCAACACTCTACTAACACATACCTACTATGGATCCTCCCCTCTGGCAGAGATCAAGTGACCAAATTCCTAGGCATTAGGTAGCATGACCTGCCATTGTGCTACGGTGAGAACCCAAAGCAACAGTTCCTGATAAAAAAAATGTTAGCCTGGCTTCAGCCTACTGTCTGGGTCCCTGCTGAGGAGATTTCTAGTCACTTCCTGTCAGAGCAGGAAGTAATAGGAAACCCAAAGAGGGCACAGACAAAAAAAACAAATTTTTAGTAGCATAGGGAACTTGAGAATGTTTTTATTGCTTCCTACGCCCTCCTTTTCTAATTTCTTGTCCTGATGTCCCATGATCAGGAAAGGGCAAAAAATGTCACCAATGGGGTCAGAGACAGAAATAAAACCTGACAACATTTTAACTCTTTCCTATTCTATCTAAAAAGAAAAGAACATTTGTCTGGAGTTATAAGGCTCTCTAGACTGAGTGGAAGCCACCATGGGCCTGTTTTGGTCCCCTTCACCATGCTCACACCATGAAAGGAAAGTTTAACAGCCGAGAATCATGTGAAAAGGTGCTGCAGTCTTACCACTAACTATTTTGAAAGCCTGCTGAGTCTGCCTGCAATGGACTATATTGAAAAAGCATTATAGGCATTTTGAATTTAGCATATTTGCAGTGTTTCCTGTATTTTATTAGAAGGTTGCCGTTTGGTTTCAGTTGTAGCCTAGCTTTCTACAAAAGAGCCTTGCGCTTGCTAAAGAACACGTTCACCTTTCACACACTTGAGAAAGTCTCTAGCTGAACATGTCTGTCTCATGAGGGTTTGTTTTTTACTTCTGGTATGGCACAGAGCCAAGAGTCTCCCGCAGCAAAGTGTAAGTAAAACTTTCTGAGAAAGTTACGGGAAAGCACGATAGCAAAGCAAATACATTATACTACCTTTCGCAAATCTGTACTTTTAAAAATGGTGCCATCGGTTGCAGTATTGGCATATCACAGGTATTTCTGTTATATAGCGGCTATAGTGCACACGTATACAGCTGATTTTGTTCTATAACTTACTACTTTGTGCCTTCTACAACCAGATTAAAGCTGCAACAACTAAATCAATAATAATCGATGATGAGAATAGTTGGCAACTATTCTCATCATTGATTAGTTGGTTGGGAGAGAGAGAGAGGAGAGAGAGAGAGAGAGAGAGATAGGGGAGAGGGAGAGAGAGAAGGAGAGGGAGAGAGAGATAGGGGAGGGGGGAGAGAGAAGGAGAGGGAGAGAGAGAGAGCGGGAGGGGGGAGGAGAGAGAGAGCGAAGAGAGAGAGAGAGAAGAGAGAGAGAGAGAGAGGAGAGAGTGTTTTTATACAACCAATCGATTAGTTGAGAAATAATCGGGTAACTAATCGATTATGAAAATAACTGTTAGCTGCAGCCCTAAACCAGGACCGCGCTGACCAATGAGGGGCGCTCTTTACTTCCCGGGACCTGGTCCCTGGCTCAGAAGTGCTCAAAGGGGGCCAGCATAGGTGGCAGGGTGGTGTCAGTAAGTTCATTTTGTCACATTTTGTGAGAAAGTTAACTTACCCTCTAAGCTAAGCCTGCCCAACTGCAATTCCCCTGTCCATTGGGAGCACTTCTGTGGCCATTAATGTTGCTCCTTTTTAGACAGGGTCCAGGCAGGTGGATGCAAAAATCAGTCCCCTACAACAAAATAGAACTCAATCAGAGAGGCACACAGGGGATGTTTTTTTTCTGGCAAATAAATAGTTTCCTAACAAAACTTCTGTATAACCATTAAAATATCGTAGTGTATCTGGTTGTAGAAGGCAAAAAGGGGTGACGTATAGAACAAAATCACTTGAACACATATGCACTATAGCCGCTAAATACCAGTAAAACAAGAAAAGTTGAACATATCCTTTAGAAAAACTGAAACTAAATCAAAGAGGCACACCAGTATTTGTTTCTGGTTAATAAACACATTGTAGTGTTTCTAAAAAAAATATCAAAATCACCAACACAAAAAGAATACACTCATCAATTTTCCCTCGACAGCACTACCGCTGAGCGGAAGCTGTATTACCCCCCCTTGTAAACATTACGTGAGATGCAGGAATTTACTTACTGCATGTGTGTAGCAGTTGGCAGCATGCTCATAGCAAGTTGGTTTGTAGCGGCTGTTGGCCGGGGCTCTGTGGTTCATGAACCTGTGAAGAGGAAATTCACACACATTGAGGTTGCCAGTTTCAGATATGTCTTGTGTGTTGATTTACTGCCTCGCTTTTCTCACAGAATAAAAATACAAATATTAAACAATTATTCCAGTAACAAAAAAACAACAAATTTTTTTTGTTATCAGGCAGGTTTAAGGGTTATCTGTAAAAATGTTTTACTTTCCATGCATCCAGTCATTATTCCCACAAATGCCCCCATACAATAAGGCTGTATTACAATGGAGGCTCCTAGTCCACAGGGGTACACCTCTTTTGGTAGGGAATCTCAACTCCACCACTTGAAACCCATGAATGCTGCCAGACTTTGCCTATGCTTCCTTAGCACCTAATTCACCCAATATGCATGCAGAGCAGAGATAGGCAAATCCCAGAATCCAAGTAGTGAATTCTTCTTTAAGGCCTTTCATACAGGTAAGAGTCGGCCCGTACAGATCCGTATCGGGCCATTACCTGGAAAGACAGGTGCTGCGTGTGATAGTATGCAGCAGCCTGTTCTTCCCTATGGGATGACGCGGCCGTACGCTCACCTGAGCTGCACACCTATGCGGGTGTCTGTGCTCGGAAGCAGACAGGATCCATCCAGTCGGTATACGAGTACGGACACCCGCATGGGTGTGCAGCTCCTGTGAGCGTACGGCCACGTCCTTCCATATAGAAGAACAGGCTGCTGCATACTATCACACACAGCACCTGTCCTTCCCGGGAACAGCCCGATACAGCCGTGCACACCGTACAGATCTGTATGGGCCGACTCCTAGCTGTGTGAATGAGGCCTATCTACATCTGGTGCCTAACTTTTGAGGTTTTCTCTAGTTGTCGTCAATGGAGCTTGCTCCTAAAAAAGTTGTGCTGGCTCATGGACTCCATATTTATTTATCCATCCCTGATGTAAAGCTAGCCACGAAAAAGGGATGAGCTACTTGACAACCAAGTGATTTCTTTGGTACCTACAGACGGGTTCAAACAATTGCTCTGCAGAAGCATCACAGCCACACCCGCAGTGCGATCGCCGGCACCCGAAAGCGTGGCACATTAGTGCCTGTGTTCCGGTCCAGTGTGATCTGCAAAAATGCAGCATGCACTATTTTTGTAGATCGAACTGGACCAGAACGCAGGCACTAATGTACCACTCGTTGGGGTGCGGGCAATCGCACTTCAGGTGGGGGGTGTGGCTGCAGTGCCATTGACTTCAATGCACTGTCACACCCCTTCCCGCCCCTGAATGCAGGAGCTGGCCGGCTTGCTTTCCAGTGCGTTCCAGAAGCCAAACGCTCTGGAAAGCACTCTTTGGGGTGTAAACGGGCCCACAGGCTGAACAAGACTAGAGCTGCTCCTGATACGACCCCATAATTATCCATGAGGGCTCACGGTGCAGATGCAGAAGAGGACATCTACCAGAGGTGAAGTAAACCAAGCAGCAGGATGCAGCTCTCCTACAGAAGTTTACTTTAAAAGTACAGTTGTGCTTTGTGCCAACCATTTATGGTAGACTCTAACTATACAATCTCATGCAGCTATAATTTCCACTGTAGCCCAAATGCAGCCCAAGGACCTGCCTAAATACATACTAAACTGATTGTTCAGATAGGCCTAAAGCTATAATATTGTACAACCAAGTTGTAATGTGTTAAGGCTTAAGGATGGCAATTTATACACAATATCAAGCACTGTCATTCAACGTTCCATCTAGAGCTGCAGCTAACGATTATTATCAAAATCGATTAGTTTGCCGATTATTAGGTTCGATTAATCGGTTAATCGGATAAACAATAAAATAAAGTTTTAAAAAAAGGCTCCAGTGATGGGACTACTAGTTTGTATTGAGGTTGTAGTCCATCACAGGAGCATGCTTGGAGCGGTGGAAGTAAAAAAGAAAAAAAGATAGTGTGGTGTGCAATATAGTGAAATGGAAAGTGTAAAATTAGACAGCAATGAATGCAGAATGGCACCGGCTATAGAGGACTACAAAACCCAGCAATAGTACATTATACAGCACAATGCAGAATACCACCGGCTATAGAGGAATACAACAAATCCCAGCAATAGTACATAATAGCTAGTGGCATGCTGCATTGCGCTGTATAATGTACTATTGCTGGGTTTTGTAGTCCTCTATAGCTGGTGGTATTCTGCATTGCACCACTGTATAATGTATTATTGCTGGGATTTGTTGTTCTTTTCTATAGCTGGTGGTATTCCGCATTGCACCACTGTATAATATATTATTGCTGGGATTTGTAGTCCCCTATACAGCGCAATGCAGAATACCACCAGCTATAGAAAAGAACAACAAATCCCAGCAATAATACATTATACAGCGCAATGCGGAATACCACCAGCTATAGAAAAGAACAACAAATCCCAGCAATAATACATTATACAGCGCAATGCGGAATACCACCAGCTATAGAAAAGAACAACAAATCCCAGCAATAATACATTATACAGCGCAATGCGGAATACCACCAGCTATAGAAAAGAACAACAAATCCCAGCAATAATACATTATACAGCGCAATGCAGAATACCACCAGCTATATAGGAGTACAACAAATTCCAGCAATACATTATACATACAGTGTATAATATATTGCTGGGATTTGTATTCCTATGTATAATATACAGCACAATGTACCATCAGCTATAGAGGAATACAAATACCAGCAATACATTATAGAGCAGCATGTGTGGGAAAGTGCAGGCTTACCTGAGCAGTCTTCCAGCAACTTGCTTCTGAGATCGGACCTGTCTATCGGCAGCTGTCATCACCCCACACCTGCTCCTCCTTACTACATCTCCCCGCGTCCCTGTGCCAATTGTGGGTGGGCGGTGAGCGTGAGGCGGGGAGGAGGTGGAGCGTGTGGAGCTGTGAACAGGGCCAACTGATCGGAAGCCGATTAATCGATATTGAAAAAGTTGACAACTTTTTCAATAATCGATTATAATCGATTATGTCGATTAGTTGTTGCAGCCCTAGTTCCATCACAATAGTTCCATCACATGGCTTCAGGTAATCTATCATCAACAGTTTTGTTTCACAGTTTTGACAGAAATGGTTGGTGAAGGTGGTCTGGATCCTTCCGGTGTTTTTGCAATCAAAACATGGTTGAAAGTGTTTTGCACTGCAGGCATGATAATTTGTTACCAATTTTGGTGCCTTAATCCCCAGCAATTTAAAACCCATGGTTTCAATTGTTTCTCAGTTTCACATGGCAATAATGTAAGCTATATCCAAACTCAAAAACATTGCAGCTAACCATTCCTTAGATGTGGTGGCTGAAATAGGTTTCTTTATTTTTTCCAGGCTTTTTTTCTTTTATTTTTTTTATCTGCTGATTCTACCAGAAACACACTCCTGTTCTAGGATGCCAATGCTCCTCTGTAACCATGGAGGAGCAGCATTGTCACCTAAGGCTGCTCTCCCGATAGATAGGGGGGACATGTTGCATAGTTCACAGAAGGCAGTTGGGAATGGCTGAGAACACGTTCTGATAATTAAGTTCAATGCCCAGAAAGTTACAAGAGACAGAAAACCAACAAGTATTCACCACATCTAAAGACGTATAACCTGCAATATATAAAGTTTTTGATCTTAGGTTTAGATATACTTTAAACTAGTGTGGACATTGATAAGAACTGCTGAGGTTTGAGACAATTTCCATCCACGTCTGGCAGATTGCTGTGGTTGAAAGTTGAAGGAGAGTGGCCAAATGCATGCCTACTGTAACCCTTATACAGCCTCATCTATAATGGAGAAAAGCACCAATTAGAGCACTTCTTCCACAGCAACCAATCCAAATTTCCCTCAGCGGAATCATGAAAGGGAACACACGATTGACTGCCGAGGGCAACAAGAACTGTTCCTTCCTCCAGACACTCTATGTGAGCCTTGTTGTCTCTTAGGATTTTTTTTTAAACATATAAAAGCTTCTTTTCCTCCTGTTGCCATAGCAACCATGCATCAATCTGCTCAGAAGAGCAGGTAACAGAAACATCTCAATTATACTAAAGCTGTGACGGAATATTGTTCTAAATATAGGAGTTAAAATTCATTAACCCGGGCTCCCTTTTCAAATCAGGCTCTTGCAAAGCCCGAGCAAACAACAGACCCGGCCAAGGTATTTACAAGTGATCTCAGTGTACCTCACTGGGAAAAGCAGTCTGGTGTTTGCAGCTAATGAAAGCCAGAAGTGGTTACTGTAAACACATCAATGTTCCTCAACAAAGCTGTTTCTCCTTATATGCCCATTTCTGGGTCTCAAAATAGTTTCTCTACAGCAAGTGACAAACAAGCAGTCATTTCTGATCCAACAAAGGGACAAATTACGGGATCCACTTGTCTCTTTACAAGAATCAAGAGGTCACGGCACCTGTGCTATATGAAAGTGTGTGTATGTACAATTATTATATATACTGGACCTAAGGGCTGTTGTAGTCTCTCGTTTAAGGCGCAGCATCCAACTTTAGAGCCGTTAGTGAAAGCCACATACAACAGAGCCTTCATATCAAAGGCCCTATAGAACAGAGATGTCATACCAAACAACACATACACCAGAGTTGTCGTACCAAAGGCCACATACAACAGAGCCATCATACCAAAGGCCCCATAGACAGAGCTATCACACCAAACAACATACACCAGAGCCGTCGTACCAAAGGCCACATACAAAAGATCCATAAGTGTCAGGGAGAGAGAGAGCGGCATGAAAAGGAAAATAATGGGATGGTGCCTAGGGTATTTCATCTACCTTCAGGGACATCATCTGGCTAGAAGGGTTGCAGAGCCGTTGAGAGCCACGGTGTACTTGGGGAATATGATTTGGCTCGGAGGCATGGACTTGGGGATTAACTACTGGTATGCCCAGGAGGGATGTAAAGCTGCAGGAAAGGCGGCATGACAGTAGGGAGGGAAGGACTGGGTAATAGAAGAGTAGGAAGAGAAATTGCTACTGGAGGCAGAATATCCCAGTGGC